TACATCGATTGAAATACAATGGCATTTACAATTCATGCACAAGTCATGACCACAGAGATACATCCAGCTGATATAAAAAAAAGAGGTCTTTTTTTTAAAACCAGTGTTCGATTACTGTACAATGTCTCGTAATTTAACTGTTCACCAATCAATTACAAACACGGAGCTCATTTATTGTGCTCACAAGGGAGCCCCAGGGGCATTTTTCAGCTTTTTCTACTCTTTGCTTTCTGGTGCGCCTTCGCGCTAAAAAACTCCTGGTTGAATTTAACCTTGGGTTCATTGCGCCCTCTTTGTGCCTGCTCCTTCCGTCTTCCACGTCCGTTTCTCCTTTCACTGCGGTCTGGCAAGCTAAAGATTTCCTGGTTCTGCTGGATTCTGGGATTCTGGTCGTATGTTGCCTCCAGAGGGGCCTCTCCCAGAGCCATCATTCTCTGTCTCTTCATCTTCTCTGCATGCTTGATATAGGTAGCCTCTTCCGAACTCTTATAGGCTGTGTGAAAAAGTTCAGAAGGTTTGAACATGACTTGTTAAATAATACACCAATTTAGAGTGGTTTTCACTCGAGTGTCGAAAGTAATTCATATTTGTTTTGGTTTCGCATGACTATGCATACTGATTGGTGTGCACAAAAAAAAAAAACTGCACTTTCTCATCCAATCAGGGGTGAATCGAAAACCAATCGTCTGAAGTTTTGATTGGCCCGACAGATTGCCTGGGTCCTTTGTGATTGGCCAGAGTGATAAGTTTGGTTTTGGTTTTACGACACTCAATTGAAAGCCGCTCTAATATCACCTTGAGGAGGAGCAGGGGGTCAGGTCTCAACAATAGTATGGTACTCATTTGAAAGACTTAGCTATTCATCACCTTGAAGTTAATAAAGTTAAATTTGCCATTGTAGCAATTTTTTGAAGCTGAAGTTTTCAGCATTAGTAGCCCTTCATCGCCATAAAAAGAGTACTTAACACGTCAACTTAACAAACTCACTACAACGGCTAGTTTACCTTTATAATCATCTGAAGAGTTGATGAATTGCTCAGCCATTCTAATGTATATTAAGTGTTTCACTTGCTGCCAAACATAACATGACAGTTTCCTTAACAACTAATAACTTAGACAGGTGGGTAGGTAGCTAGGGAGGGAGTGAGGGAGCAAGGGAACAAGGTAGGGAATGAGGTAAAGAAGTAGATACAGAGGTAGATAGGGAGGAAGGATGGAAGGACGGAAGGAAGGACAAAGGGACAGGACAGATGGAAAGACAAACAGAAAGACAGACNAGGTAAAGGAGTAGATACAGAGGTAGATAGGAAGGAAGGATGGAAGGACGGAAGGAAGGACAAAGGGACAGGACAGATGGAAAGACAAACAGAAAGACAGACAGAGGGACGGACAGACGGACGGATGGAAGGGAGGAAGGAAGAAGGAAGGTAGGTTAGTAGAAGGGTAGGTGAGAAGGGAGGGGGAGATAGGCAGGAAGGTAAGGAGGTTGGCTGGTAGGAAAAGTCAGTTGGTTGGTGGGTGGATGACTAGGTGGGTGAATAGGTAGGTAAATAGTCTCAATTCGTGCACTCTACACAGAAATACCCATGCTATCACAGAAAAAAATCAGTTGTTATAGCTTACCAGCTTTCATGTTTTCCAAAAAACCTCCACTTGGCAGGTTTTCAAACGTTTTCATGTCAGGGATTCCCAACTTTTTCCTCACTGCAGGATGCTTTAAAGCAGCCATTTGTCCAATTGTAAAAATGTTGGATGTTACCCAGTAGCAAAGAACGGCCTAAAACAAGGACAAGTAGTCAGCATGGTTTGCCACAAGCATCATTCTTTTTCAAAAACTCTCTGACTTTTCCCTTACTTTTCCCTAAGGCTAATAAAAAAAACACATAATTTCCCTGACAAAATAAATAAATAATGACAGATATAGTGGCAGCTTCTTGCCTCTTCTTAGAACTGTCCTTTCAACCCATTCATTAAGACTGATAAGTTTTCAACAAATTTTCCTACTTCATCAAGGAAAAACATTGTTGAGATCACAATGACCTCAAATGTTTTTT